GTTGGGTTTCTCTGACAATAACAGGCTTAGGCTATAGCCACTCAGATGGAGGCCACTGCAGTCTCCATGTTCTGTTTTCTCTAAAATATTCTTGCCACCTCTCTGCCTCTCTCTTCCTTTCCTTCTCGCTCTCTCTCCTCTCTAAGTTATTCATTCATGAAGCACAGTCAGAATGTTAAAGATGAGAATCTATCAAGGAGACAGAAACATTCAGACACACCTCTGGAGGGAAAAATCACTACTTCCTCAAATATCTGTCACTTCCAGACAACTGTTGCATGTGGCCCCGCATAGCAAGGCCAGCCAACCAGTGCTGGTGCCTGTTAAAAGTGCGAGCACATACTGCTTATGTTTCCAGCAGAGGCATCTCCGTTTCCACCATGGAGGGAACTCACAGAAACTGAACAGGCTTGGGGATGCAGATAAATTAAGGAGGGAGCTGTGAGGAAGCACAGGAACAGCCCTTACCACTTGCTGACCGCCCCTGTACCCCCAGAGCCTGTCAGGGCAGGGCGACCAGCCTGCTCTCTCAAACAGGAGGCTCTCAGAGAGTCAGAGATGCCCACCACCTTCCCAAGCCCCCGTACGCCTTGGGCATCCTCCTCAAGACATCACTTCCCCAGAGAGGGAAGGGAGGGGGAGGAGCACACGTCTCCCAGGGAGAAGACTGCCAAGTCGCAAAGCAAGCTGAAGAAAGCAAATAGCAACAACACAGGCAGTATGTTACCATTTGTTTTTCGGAAAACACAAAACAGAATCGCATGTCCAGATGTACACGTATACATATGTAAAAGCACCGAGCAATCTAACTAGTCAATGATAGGTAAACTGTCGGCAAACTACGCTAAGAATGCCGTACAGGTAGTCAAATGGCTGTAGATACAGATCATTTCAGGTTTAAAAAACACAAGAGAATCCACAGACTGGTTCCAACTGTATAAAAATGAACGCACATGAGGGAAGGGGGGGAGATGGGCGGGGCTCACACTGCTGTGGACTCGCACAGTACAAGCGGGTAGGAAAGGCGTTAGTATTTCAATAGTTAAAAGATACGACTTAATTTGTTTACTTAGAGAAGAAAAGGAAGAGAAAAGAGAAAATCTAGAAGGATACCCACTAAACTGAAGACAACGGCTGACTGCGTGATCTGCAGATAGGATGTGAATAGGGGAGTATCTTTGACCACTCGGGCTGCTACAATGAATTACCACAGAGCAGGGGTACAGAAATGACATAAATGTATTTCTCACACTTCTAGAGGCTGGAAGTCCAAGATCAGAGCGCTGGACAGGGTCCCCTTTCTGGCTCACAGACGCCTCCTTCTCCTTGTGCCCTCCCACGTTGGAAGGAGCTCGGGCGCTCTTGCGGGCTCTTTCATAAGGGGACGAACCCCACTCACGATGACTCCCCCCTCGTGGCCTCATCACCCCCAGGAAGCCCTGCCTCCAAAAACCATCACACCGGGATTAGGTTTCAACATAAGAATTCGGGGGGGACACAGTCTACAGCAGGAAAGGCCTTTCACATAAAAATTTTTTTAATTTTTAAAATGAGGTTTTTGTGTTGTACTGCTGTAACAGTGATAGGACAAAAATGAAAGACATGAGGCCTGCCCTCCTCCCCCATCCCACCTTTCTGCCCACGAGGGAGAAAATCACTGTGCTGAACTAAAGGCCTGCCACCCACGGCCATCCTTAACTGCACAGGGAGGCAGACCACCAGAGACCCCAACGCCCTGATCCGGGGCTGCTTGGCATCACTCTGTTTCTGTCTAGGCCCATCCTAAGGGGAACATCGTGCTGAGCTGGCCCAAGCCACGTGCCCATCAGCCGCCCCCTTCCCAGGCCTCACAGTCTGCAGCTCCCTTGCCTGCCCCCTACCTCTTCGCCTCTTTCATTAAGACAGGATTTGGCAAAGTCAGTAAATCCCCATCGGTTCATTTCCCGTTTACAGTACTGCATGAGCCTTCTCAATTTTATGAAAATACCCAGTTCAGGGAGTGGTTTGATGCATCTCAAGTTAACAAAGCTGCCGTGGGTTCAACCTGACAGGCTGTTAAAGAGTAAACACCCTTTTCATGAGCAATTATCTTGCTTTGCCTCCAAAAAGGGGGACAAATAAATCTGAGAGGCTGAACAAACAGAAATGGAAGTTAGAGAAGAGAGTTGGTTGGTAACCATCTCCTTCCCACCAACCTGAGAGTCTTGCTGCCCATCAGGTCCTAGAGGTACAATTACACCCAGGGTGGCGGCTCTGATGTTGGCAGGCCTTGGAACCTGTGCTCACATGGTCACGAACAACGGCTCAGCGAGGGCATCGCTACAGAGTCCCTCAAATGACATCTCGGTCCTGTCTGAACTTGCGCCCCAGCTCGTTTCTCCAGATGAAGTCACAGAGAGACTGACCCGTTTCCTCTCATCCCATCACACTCCAACCACTTGAGGACAGAAAGGAGGTCCCGCGGCTTTCTGCACGCAAGCCCTCCTTTATCCCAGAGGGCCCATTTCACAGGTAAGAGCCCTCTGTCCCTGCCGCAGCCAGAGCCTACAGCTCAGACTACATCGTCCTGTTCCTGGGCCATCTGCTGAAGGCTGGGGCTTCATCCTAGGTGGAACGAACCAGACGCTGAAAAGGCCTCAAGCTGAATTCGCCCACCCAACTTCCAACAGCCTCTACAGCTGCTGGCTCACAAACTCCAACTGCAGTGAGCATTCTGAACCCCAAATTCCAGCCCCTCTGCCTCAGAAGACTATCTTCCCTGGGTGCTCTATCAGTGCTGGACGACGGCAGTAGGCTCAAGATCAACACCCGTTAACTCAGACCCCGTGAAGCATCCGCCATAGACCAAGTTGCTGCCCTTTCTGGGTCTGGTCAGCAAATTAATAGTGAGACCAATGGAAACCTTTAGTCTGTCTCAGTGAGGCTGGACAGACTGTTTGCAAAAACCCCTCTTAAATAGCAATATTTGTATTTAATGACAACAGCAATTAAAAGCACTTCTTACCTATTTCTAAGACCTTCTAAGATAAATTCCCCACTCATATCAATAGCAATAATTCATTTCTTTTAAACTGTCCTGTCAGGCTGATCTTCCTGCCAATTAGAGAAGTTCTAGGCATTAATGGCTATTATGCCCTCCGGAGCCCTTTCAAATTTTCTCCCTAGATGTTCACCCACCCACCACTCCCAAGCCATTCCCAGATCCTGGGATCTTCTCCATATTGAAAGCATATACAAGAACAAACATGAAGCAAAATGTTTAAAATAAAAACTACCGTTGCACAGTACAAATTGACCAATGACTATTTACACTGCCTAGAGAAAGCCCCTACATTCAGAGAGTTGACCAAATACTCTGTCACCTCCCCCCGACCCCCATCCCCACGGCCAGGACCAAGAGTTGTGACACATCATGAGTGCAAAGAGCCCTCTACAAGATACTGTCTCAGAAGCCCAGCTGGGCCCTGGTGGGAAGGGACCAATAAGACTCAGCAGGGGCTACGCCAAGCTGCCGAGCCAGTTCTCCTTCTCCTGTCCCAGGGTTAGGGACACTGACACAAGATCTTCCTGCCAGAGCAAGAAGAAGGCATCCCAGCAGTCAGCTCACACATCCCCAGGTAGATCTGGGAGCAGAATGTGGCAGCCCACATTAAGGACCTCTGGAAGCTACTATCATGTAGATATACTCAACAGGAAGGCAGCAAAGGGTTCAGGGGCCGGAAACTGACACACATTCAAGCTTCTGATGAAAAACATGGCACATGGTCCTTCCTCCGAGACAGTATCATGGCTTTCCATCCAACCATCAGATCCAGCTGTCTGATCCAGCTGTCTGGTCCTTCTGGAACACACGTCATCAGTTTCTCATTAGCCCCAGGGCCAAGTTCCCAGGAATCCTCCCTTCTCTTTATCCAGTTGGGAATTTAAGGCAAGAAAGAAGGTGGGTAGGCAGGGCAAAGAATGTCAGCCTACCTCCTGGGTATATGTCCAGCTGACTCCAGGGAGTCTGACCTAATCCTAGCTCACCGTATCCAACAGCAGAAATGGCCTCAATCTCGGTCTCCCCAGTAGGGTCCTGCTTGTGCCTCCTTCCTTGCTGGGTGAGCAGGGGATTCAAATACCAGCTCAGGTCTCCCACCTCTGGGGCTCACTGGGACGGAGAGTGGTAAGGCTGCATGTGCCTGAGCTGGGTTCTTACTGACATCGGTCCCTTTCTACTGCTAGTAACGCATTCAGACTACCTGGGTTTAGTGACAGTGCTTGGTTACAGTCTCATGGCTTGGCCTCGGTTCTCTGCATTCAGCACTCAGCCAGATTTCAGGCTGTGATTCACACCATCCCTCTCTATAAACAAGCGCATGCTCATTCCGCCAACCCAACCCACCAGTCCTATTTCAGCAAAAAAGCTTAAAATTTCTGGCTCATCCCCCATTCTGAGGCCTTTTTAGATTTTTTTGTTATTCTTTGTAACCCCTTAGGTGAGTTACATACAAGTGAAAGGACGAAAAACTGAAGCTAAAGTATATGCAAACAGTAAATGGCACAAGTGAGCTCAAACCTAGAGTCCTGCTATTTGGCCACCCCATCTCATCTTCCTGTTAATACGCCCTTGCCCATGTAACACTTTGTTAACGGTCTTAGGCTACAGTCAGGTGTGCTGTCATGTCCCTGACAACATCATAAGCTCTTTAAGGGTCAGACCATGATCACAGTCACTCACTTCTCCCAGTTTCCAGGTCCACTCGAATGCACCGTGCCACACTGCATACTGTCAGCTGCACTCTGTATTTATAATGAAATCTGACATTTAAAACCTGCATTTACCAAAACGTAACAAAGAGGATGATAAATCATGTTACTGAGAGCTTATTTCCCTTTAGGAAAAAAGTCACAATTCAATTCCTCTAAAAGCCCTAAAGGGCCTGAAATATTTACTTCCTGATCACTGACTACTTACCAGGGACATTAAGGGGTATATCAGGTTTGAGAGCGGTACTCACCAGGTGAGGCATCAACAGGTCAGCCAGATAGACGAAAGCAGCTCCAAGGGTGAAGCCAACGGCCACAGGGAAGCAGGCAAAGGCCCCAAAGGCCCCAGAGGACGCGGCCATCTCAACTGCGGGGGCCAGGAGGGACCAGTAGGAAGCTGCGAGCATGACCTGCAAACCATCACAGAGGGGACTTCAGTTGCTTTCTGTGGCCCACACTGAACCCTACAATTTTGCAAGTGTTAGAACTTTAAATGATGGTGGCAGGTACTACCCCAATCCAAGAAACCACCCTCAGAATTCTGGGAACCGATGTCTCAAGAACTCACTCTGGGGTAGGAGAGAGCTGAACCTTGGGGGGACAGAGTCTAGTTTGTTGTCATGCAGCCTTGTTAATGGTCAACCCACCTCCTGGGTACAGGAGTTGTCATCTAGGCTCTCATCAGTGTCCTCAACCAGCAGCAACTTTGCCCTCCCGGGGACATCTGGCAATGTCCGGAGACATTTTTGGTTGTTACACTAGGAACAGGGGAAGAAGATGCTGCTACTAGCATTTAATGAGGCCAAAGATACTGGTAACCACCCCACAGTGCACATCACAGCTCCCCACAACAAGACTCATCGGACCCCAAATGTCACTAACACTGCCAAGAAATCCTGTTTTAATTGAATACTTCCAGGACAAGCTGCTCACTACTTCAAGAGCTCCACTACATTATAAGACAACTCTAATTATTACAAAGTTCTTCCTTACAGTGACCTGAAATCGGTCTTCCTTTCATTTTTACCAATTAGCTGCTCTAGGTTCACTCTCTGGAGCACCAAAGACTGTGTCCTTCCTCTGTGACATGGGGCAGCCTTTGAAATATTTGATGACAACCAGTGTCATCTTGGCCTCATCAATTTTCTTATTTCTAAAGAGGAAGAAGGAAACTAATATTTATTGATCACCTACTATTTCCAGGGACTGAGCTTCACATTTGACAGCTTATTTTATTGTCGCAAAAAGCCTAGGAGGCAGATGCTGTTTTATTATTTGTAAAGAAACTGAATCCAGAAATCATTTGAATTTGAAGAGTTGAACCTAGAAGATAATCTGCACAAGGTCACAGGTCACACAGCCAAAAAGTGGCGGATCCGGGGCACTGAGCAAGCAAAACCATAAACACCCACAAAGAGGGGAGAAAACCAAGAGAAAAGAGAAAAATAAAGTTGGATTCAAGTCTCATGAGGTCAGTTTGATAAAGGGTTCACCAGTGTTTATCAAATTAAACAGCCATCCAAAGCCATTTATTCCTACGGATGCCGTGACGTCCTCTTGACTAGAGAACCCCCACTACCCATGGTAACCATACAACAGTCATCACTGCATGTAAAATGTTGAATGGGTTTCTAAAAACGACTTAATTATACCTTGTCTTAAAAAAAAAATCTGCATCTTCCACCTCTAAAATAACATTCAGAGTGACAGAACCAGATATTACAAAAGCAATAATAAAGAACAAATCCGTTCAGAAAGTAATTTCCCTCCTGCCAACCGTCATCCACACAACAGTTGCTTGTTCTGGACCCAGTTCTCCCAGCAAAAGTCATGTGCCACCTGTAGAAAATTGCATCTGCCTCAGAAACTGCCAGGAAGCATGAAAAGGTGTCAACAGTTCAGCTGCATGAGACGGGCGGAGGAAGCTGAGGGCCCCCTGAGCTTGTTCATAACCAACAAAAGATGGAAACGGCCCAGGTGTCCAGTAACACATGAATGGAGAAACAAAATACTCCATTCAATGGAATACTTTTCGGCCACAGACCTGAATGGGGCACTGACGTGCTACGACGACATAGATGGACCTCAAAACCATTATGCCCAGTGAAAGGCGCCAGACACAAAGGTCACGTACCTTACGACTCCATTTATATGAAAGGTCCAGAATAGGTAAATCCACAGACAGAAAACAGATTAGCGATCAACAGGAGGTCGGGAGAGACTGCTTAGTGGGTCTCTTTTGGGCATGAGGAAGTATTTGGCACTAGACAGAGGTGACGGTTGCACACTGTGAATGTACCAAATGCCACTGAATAGTATACCATAAAATGGCTAACATTACATGAATTTTCCCTCGATCAGAAGAAGTTGACCTGCCCTGACCAACGGTTACAACTCTGTCTTGCATTACTGCTCCTTGCCTTGGCCCAAGCATGTCCACCTTTGAAAAGACCCATCTTTCATGCCCTTTCTTCCAAGCACCTGAACTCCTTTGCCCGAGGGCACACATATAATGGAGGGGAAAAATACAGGAATTAGAATCAGGTCCGTGTTGGAATCTTGGCTCTGCCACTAACAAGTTAGGTAGCCTGGGCAAATCATCTAAGCTCTCTGCAGTGGCTCAGTTTCAAAAACACCTGAACACCTAGAGACAGGGGCAATGATACTGTATAACAAGGTTGGTTTTAGAATTACATGGGGCGATGCATACACACCAATGCAGTTCCTGGCATGAATATGGGCTGAATCAGTGTTATGCTGGATTCTTCCATCTCCCTGAGCCTGCCTTCACTCCCTGTGAGCTCATCCTCCTCCCTACCTTCCTGCCCGTCCTCCACAGTGGCCCTTTTCCATTGCACTGGACTTATTATGTGTGTCCATGTTCCCACGGGACCAGGATTAGGGCTGTGTGGATCATCTCTGCATCCTGGCACCACCCATCTGAATAGTCCTGGACTGACCAGCCATTCAGGAACTGTTGCCTAAAGGAGTTCTCTGTTATCCTTGCTAATGAAGGGGAGCCACAGGGTAAAGAAGGCATAATCAGGAAGTGATTCACCCTCATTTGTTAGTATATTACCTAAATTTTAAAGTGATCTTACCTTCCAAATTAAGTATACATAGGCTCATACTCAAATGCCTTCACTCCTTGGACAAATAGTGGATGAGTAATTGTTTAAATAATGGAGTTTTTCTTGGGTGTGGAAAGAAGCTGGCATAGAATTTTCAGGGCTTCATGGATAATCCACTGAACAGGCTACTGACAGAATCGCACTCTCTTACAGATAAAAGGGACTTTAGGAGGCTGTGTAGTCCAAATGCGCCATTTAACAGATGGAAAAACCGAGACCCAAAGCGATTCACTGGCTTTCCCAAAGCCCCACAGCAAGCTAATGCCACCCAAAGCTGCCTGCACCACTCCCAGATCCAGTCAGCACCATCCTTCACCCCGACGCTGCGGCAGTCGTACACCGATGCAGTGGTAAGACCCACAGTGTAGAGGCAAGGGTTAAGTTGCTGCCTCTCTTATCACCAGGCAGAACATTCCAGAACCACAGCCGGGACCAATCAGCTTTAGCAATAACCAAATGTAATCGATTCCCTGGGTATTTCCCATGATTATGATATAAACTCCCCCAAGAAAACCCAGCACTAGGAAATATCTGGCAACTAATCAGCAGTGGTAATGACCTGGTTAAACATGTTCCTCTGTGAGCTAGTCAGATCTGGAACAGATGAATAGCCCATGGCTACCTTAGAGGTAGGGAAACAAGCCCGTATGTAACTCAGAACACAGTTCCCTCTTGGCAGAACAGCTGAAGCTGGGGGTTCAAAACAAAGCCTACTGTGTATTACACTGTCCAGTCTAGGGCTCTGAATTAAAGGCACACCACCCTCTCTTGGAGGCTACACTTTAAAACGAGAACCCTATAAATGCACATGTCCTGGATTGGATCCTCAGAACAGAAGGACATTAGCAGGAAAACTGGTGAAATCCAACTAAAGTATGGAATTTATTAGGTACTAGTAATGTACCAATGTTAATTTCTTAGCTTTGACAAATGTACTGTGGTTCTGTAAGATGTTCACATTAGAGGGGGCTAGAGAAGGGTATAGGGAATTCCCTGGACTATTTTTGTAACTTTTCTGAAACTCTAAAATGCTTCATATACAAAGACCTTACTAAAAATGAATAGTGGTAAGTTACCAAGGCCTGAGAGAAGACTGCAGGAGACCACTTGAGCTGAGGGGCATAAACCACGCAAGCAGAGACTTAAAACCAAGAGCCCAAGTTTGCTATCAGCAAAGGGACTGGCCTGGGGCAGCACTGCTCTTTGTAGTCAGAGGGGACTGCGTCCCTTACATGCACGGTGCCTCCTTGAAACCTACAGCCTTCTCTCTGTAGTTCAGAGGGGTTGAGTAAATCACCCAAGGAGAGCTGGAAGTGGCAGAGCTGGGATTTGAAACCCAGGCCAGGCTTTTAATGCCAAGGCAGTGTTCCATCTCTTAGATGCTTGAAATTCCTTAAAAACAGTAATCTTCTCTATGGCACCTACTCAGTACATCTAATCAGAGAATAATTTCCCTCTGTAAGCAATTTTCAAAGTTGACTGTTTACAATAGCAATGTTTACTGTTCTACGTGTACATCCTAGTCCATTCTGGACTAGCACAAAATGTCAGTTGTAGTCTAGATAAACATGGCCAATCGAACAGAAGCTGCTCACTCTGGAACCCCTACTAGGGTGAAGGCAGAGGACAAGAAGGGCCTCAACCCCAGAGGAAAAGGCTGGGGAGACGAGTGGCAGCCACTGTGGCTTGGGGGCCAGAGAGGGGCAGGTGAGGGCTGAATGATGTTCCAAGAAGGCTCGCACCTGAGCCCAGCAGAGGAGACTCAGAGCAAGATGGTTCACCCCACAGGACCCCGTACCAGCCCTGGGACGGAGCAGCCCAGAGCCACTGGACACGGGAGGGCAGATGGGCAGATAATGAGGACTGGTGGGGAGCTGGAGGAGCCATCAGACCCAATTCTTCCTGTACCCCACGTGGCCAAGCACTGTCCCACCACACCTTTAGGAGACCACCCCACCACCACCACCACCAGCCAGGGGTGCAGGCAGCACACTGAGATCAGGAGCAAGTGCATGCCTGTGTGCTGACAGCGCCCAGTCTCAACTCAGCCTCGGCCCTGGCCCCCACGGCCCCCGGCTCCGCAGGGGCTGCTCCCACAGCCCCTCTAACCCAGATCCCTATGCGGGAGCCCCCAGCTCAGGCTCTAAGCAGCTGAAGGCTTTACCTCCCTTCTCAACAAGATACTTCAGTGCTGTTTTCACTGGCATGATGAAGTAAAACAGGAACGTCAAGGACAGGGGAGGGAAACAAAGGGAATCCCCCAGGTGGTGGTGAAATTG